CAGTGACCAAATCACAGCCAAACAAAACCCCCACCTTTACTGATACCCATCTCTGTCGGTTGACCTGTGACCCGCCGTGAGTCATCTACTGGCTGCGTGGCCAATGCCATATCCCTGGGATACACGTAAGAGTCATCCTGGGAGAGCCTGTCCGAATGTCGCCCTGTGGGACAGAACACTGTGTTTTTAGTTTGTTTTCGCTTAAGTTAAATATTCTATAACGCACCCTACTGGGCTTGAAAGCTTTCGACTATCATCGGCACGCCCTTGGAATATTTTATTTAAGCCCAGAAAATAATTATTTTTCAAAGGGAAAAAAGACCTTTTCTTTTGAAAATTCTACCCACACTCTAAACCACCTCCAAGTGATAGATATAGGCTTTATCTATTACTTGAAATAAATCATCTTGTTATCATTTTTATTTAAATATTGGTAAGTGCATGTTGCATTCACTTTTTCTACAATTATGAAATGTATTAAGGCACCACAAACTATAAGTCATCAGTGTGGTTTCGCCGAGACATTGGCTATGCATACTGCTGTAAACACCGTAGAATCTGGTAAAAAATACAATGGCGTTTGTTTGTTTGTTTGTTTGTTTGTTTGTTTGTTTGTTTGTTTGTTTGTTTGTTTGTTTGTTTGTTTGTTTGTTTCGGTAAAGAGAAGCACATCAACACAACATGTAATGCTGGGAAAATGTAAAACAGACAGAAGATTAATAAAGCAGAGCGACAGTGGCAGGACCTATCGTACTAGTGGTGCCCTCCAACCACTCTCAAAATGGCGCAGTTACTAGTATTCAATAATATCACATCATGGTGAGTTTATCTTAGAGATCATAGATATATTATTCTTATACTAAAGAACATGTTCTTTTCCAAATACAGAGAACAGAAAGCGGGTAATCAAGATGCTGAGAGTAAAGCTGTAGTCTTGCAAACACAATTACTGTTGTTTTTATTTTCTAGGGGAAAGGGGTTGGATGTGGGTTCTGGTAGCTAGTTTTTGTTTTTCAATTTTATCAGTAAACATCCTTTCTTGTGTGTGTGTTTGTTGTGTTCAAAAGATTGAATGTTTTGTTTTATCTTTCATTGAGAACAACAACACAAACCAGTTACATCAACCAGTTACTCCAAATCAAAGCCAAACAACAACCTGTGCTGTTACCTGTCTCTGTCGGTTGACCTATGACCCGCCGTGAGTCATCTACTGGTTGCGTTGCCAATGCCATATCCTTGGGATACACGTAAGAGTCATCCTGGGAGAGCCTGTCCGAATGTCGCCCTGTGGGACAGAACACTGTGTTTTTAGTTTGTTTTCGCTTAAGTTAAATATTCTATAACGT